AAAAAAAAAAAAAAAAAGATCATGCATTTTGCAGTCAGAGTAGCCTAGATTTGGAACCTAGCTTTATCACACACCAGCTGTGTGTACTTAATTTAAATAGTCATGCCACCTCTTTGAGCTCAGTCTCTTCATCTCTAAAATGGGAATAACAACACATGGGGCTGTTGTGAAGACTAAATAATAAATGAGATTGTATGTAAAACATACCTATGTGCATGTTATTTCCTGCCCCTTGGTTTCTTCTCCCTAGCACAAGGTTTTAATAAGCCATTGATGACCAATTGTTTTCCTTCTCTTAAGTTCTTGTAGACCACCACATTTAGAATTGTAACACCTCTCCCGAATTCCTTATATCTTCCTTCCTTTTTCTTCATAGCATTTATTACTGAGATACCATAGTTTAATTACTTATATCTCTTCCCACTAGAATATAAGTTTAATAAGGTCAGAAGCTTTTCCTGTTCACACTGATGTCTCCATACACAGAACAGCACCTAGTACTCAATCAACATTTGTTGAGTGAATTAATGAATGTAGTAATCTCATACTGTGTGCCAAGTACTAAGTTAAATAATATATGCATCATCTCAGTAAATCCTGCTTTGTAATATAGATACTATTAGGATTTTTATTTTAAAACAGTAGGAGTCAGTGAAACTCAGAGAAGTCATGTGACTTTCCAAAAGCCAGAAAGGGAATAGCTAAGTGGGAGTGCTGGCTTGGGTTGGACATTGTGGGGCAGCATATTCTCTATTAAGGAGCAGCCTGGATTAAAGGTTATGATGGTCTTGCCTAAGAGGATGAAGAGGAGGAACACAGAAGGTTACCTGGTTTCCTTGTCCATTGGCATCTTCTGGCAAGCCCACATAATTTTCCACAATTGCAGATTTACAAATGAAATCTCAAGTTTGCTGCAGCTGCAAAGGATTTTAGAATGCAAGAGTTCTGTTCCCTTGGGGCACCAGTTTTGAGACAGGAGCCATACCTGGCTTTGAGGAATATCTCATACTAATGGGTGGAAACAGAACAACCCACTATTCACATGGTTCTTCTGTCTCTTTCTCCTTCCCTTTTACATAACCTATGTTCTTCATCATGCCTTCATTTGTGCATATTTGCTAAGCATCCAATTAATCCAGCCTACTATCCTCTGGAATGCAACTTTAGGAATGAATGTGGAGCAGGAATTTTTGTATGTTGTTCTTTGCTATATCCTCAGTGCCTGCAGTAGTTTTCAGCACACAGTATGTGCTTAATATATGCTTGTAAAACTAATATCTGCCTTTGGAAACAAAGCTCTTGTCCTAGAAGAAAAAGGAAAAGTCCTTTTCAGTGACATTGTGGGCCAGTACAATATCGAAAATCCCTACCAGGGAGTGCAGGCAGAGTGGAGACTGTGGATCTGGCTGGGCTGGGGAAGATCGTGGAAGGGAGGCCTCCCTGTGAGGGCTGAATGCCAGAGAGCAGGATTTTGCCCTGCACGTCTCTGTCTCACGTTGGAGGAAGCCGGTCAGAAACCGCTGGAGGAGCTCCTGCCTCCAAAAGCACAAAACTGATGCTACCGGGACCAGATGGACAGAATCAAAAAAGATGAGACAGAAAGGCCCTGGGAGCTTGGGGAGAGTGAGCATTAGAGTGAACAAGTTCCTGTGAAAGTGAAATGGCCCTTCATTTGAATGCAAATGCTATGTAAAAGCCTGAAGCCCCTTGACGTCAGCCCAGCCATTGGTGGCCCAACTATACCCCCGCTACCAGTCACCTGGAAACCTTCCGGGGCAGGAATCGGGATGGAGTAGTCTAAGGGGCGCAGAAGAGTTTGCGGCACAGCTACTGACTAATTCTCTGTTGCTTCTCAAAGTCGGGCTGGGGCCTTACAGGGACCTCGGGATGGCTTAGGGAGCTTCTTTCTTCTACCCAAGCCATCATGTATGGAAGCTGCCTTTTGGAGAAAGAAGCGGGCATGTATCCGGGCACTATCAGAAGCCCGGGAGGAGGCAGCACCGCGGGGGTGGGCAGCACTGGGAGCGGTGGAAGTCCGCTGCCAGCCTCCAACTTCGCTGCTGCCCCAGCTTACCCGCACTATATGGGGTATCCTCATATGACCAACATGGATCCTCATGGGCCATCACTGGGGACATGGAGTTCACCCTACAGTCCCCCGCGGGAAGACTGGAGCGCGTACCCAGGGCCGTCCAGTACAATGGGCACAGTGCCCATGAACGACATGACCTCGAGCCCTGCTGCTTTTGGCTCGCCCGACTACAGCAGCCTGGGCCCCGCCGGCGGTGGAAGCAGCGGCGGTGGCCTGCCAGCCTCAGCCAGCGGGTCACTGGTCCCCATTGACTCCGGCACCGCCGACGCCAGTTCCTCCAGCAGGAGCCGCCACAGCCCCTATGCATGGATGCGCAAAACTGTGCAGGTGACCGGTGAGTAATCGATTAGAATGTCCGCACACTTTCTTTTCTTAGCTTCTTCTCTTGGTTGGCCCGCCTTCCTACTTCTCAGGCCTCTCCGGGGAGAGTTTAGCTAGGCGACTCCTGCGTGACTGGCTGGTCCATTAGGTACCTTTCAATGCGCGCCCTTGGGTTCAAATCTTGTTGAATGTGAAGCGTGGAACTAAATCTACCCTATGGGTGTTTTTTGCCATACCCTGATCGCTCAATGGGGTGAGCGCGTGCACATTGGGCATCTTGAGCCACAAAGATCAGGATCCAACCCTGTAGTTGCCCAGATGGGAAAACAGATGCACGGAAAGTCTCAACGAGTGGACGAGGTCACTGGTGTCCGAATGTTCAGGCACTGAGGCTTGCCGGTTCCTTTTCCACACCTTTTCCCATAATAGCAGGCTGGCTCCCCTCACAAATTTAATGATACTCAACTTAGGTTCACGGTGCTTGCCTGGCAATGAACCTTCCTGTTTGGCTATGAAGGCTCAGACGGAAAAGCAGCCTCATTACCCAGGCCTCTCAAGGAAGCTTCCTTTCCCAAAATTGGCAGAGGTGAGTTGTTCTCAAACCTATTGCCTACTTCTAACATCCTTTCCCTCTTTTGAAGCGTTGAGGCAGATGAGAAGGCCACAGCACTGAGCTAGCATATAAAACGCAACCCAACCCTCACGCCTGCCAGGTGTGCACGACTATCAGACCCAGTATTAAGTGGCTAAAGCCCTCATCACTATTCAGGAAGGCATCCAGGCAACGCTGGGAACTGAATGCAAATCTGTGACAGTGACAATGCGTGGGAAGTCACAACATCCCAGTAAGTCAGTGGGCGATTCCAGGGAGCTGAGGGCGGGGAAGTGAGTGTTCTGCTTTAATCTCAGATGGTGAGAGGGGGAAGATGTTTGTTTTCAGCTGTGGTTGTTCTTTTATCACATCCTTATTATTCCAACCCTTGTTCCCTGTCATTAGAGAAAATTAGTAAAATTTGACTCTATCAGTTTCATCCCCCTGGGGAGGAAATGACATTTCAATAACGTTTGTCCACAATGATTATGCTCCTTTTTGCAGTTCTGTATTTTCCGCTCTCTTCCAAAAAGCAAAGGTGGGAGGATGGGAAGGAACCAACTTCGACATTCGGAGGACTTTTAACCAAGAGGATCAGGGTGGTAATCATAAATTAAAAGTAAAGTTTAAATGCTTGGGTTTAAAGTTTTTGGGGGGTAAATCTGCAAATTTTTAATAAAATACAGGTAGGTCAAATGGCTAAGTAGGATAGAAAATTAGATTACGGTGGAGCACTCCCAGGGCTGTTATTACATCTAATCTTAAGAGTTGTAATTAACATCCATTCACTAAAACCTAACAATCAGCAAAAGATACCAAAAAAAAAAGCCAGGAAAGTAGCTGCTTACAGTTCAGGATATGTTTTGAAATGCTTTAGAGGAGGAGCATCATTGGCATGTTGTTTGAAATAGAGAACAATAAAAAAAAACAAGATAAGAAAATTGCCTTGAGCCATGAATTTTCTGTTTAAGAGGGAAATATGACAAGTTTCTCTGCTTAAAAGTCTTCCATGTGCATTTGTTTTTGTGAGCTGAAGCTTTTCTCTTGGGTATTTCTGGTGCCAGGAAAAGGGGCCTCCTTAATCTGTGCATTTTCATTATTCAATAAACACACAAACCTGACTTTACAATCCACCTTCACAAGATTTTCTCTCCAATTTCTATGAGAGGTTTAAAATTGAATGACATTGGAACCCCTCTGACTCTCTGCAACCTGTCCTATAGACAAAGCTCTGTTAAATTCATTTTAATGTCTTATAAGTGAAAACTACCCCTTTGTCTTACAGCCCATGGTGCATATTCAGCAATAATTTAAGAATATGATGAAAATATGGATTCTTTCCACCCAGAAAATGCACAAAAACACACCAGCACACACACACACACACACGCACACACACACAGTTGTTTCACATAATTTCTAGAAATTCGCAGGACCACTGAGCCCCTGCCATGGACATCAGGTTATAATTTCCACCAAAAAATTAAATTTATTACCTCTTTGGCCACTCTGGACCAAAATGCACCCATTTATGATATGCTGAGCACATGGTGGGTGTTAGAATATTTGTTAAATGAACGGATGAGTCAGATCCTCCTAAATTTTCCAATTCATTCTGTGGGATTGTGGGATAACATATGGTTTGTGGCTGAGAGGAAAATACATAAACTACAAAATGGAAGTAACCCCACCCTGAATTCATGTAATCAAATGAAAGTTCTTTTCATTACTGAAGTAAGTTTTGAATAGAATTACATTAAAGAAAGAAAAATATACATATTAGGAACATTATAGCATTTGATTTTCTAACGAGAGCAAAGGGACTGACAGAGTAAATTGTTGTCCCCTAGGTGATGTGATTTAAAAGTAAGATGTTTTTATGTCTACATAGTTCTTTAAGTAGTCTACTCCAATATACATCTCAGTTTGAAGAATATATGAAAAGAATTTGACAGAAAAGTATGGGAAGTTGATGATTTTCATGCATTTTCATATTCTAAACACTGTCAGTGCAATAGAGCAAGGAATTATTTTTTCATTCTTCTCTTTTATTCAGAGTTGTGGTCCTAATTGGCAAGGTGATAACCTAACTGGGGCTGAAGAGAGGCTTTCTTGGTAGGGGTGGGAAAGAGAGAAAGGAGAAACTAATTTTGACTGATTCTGATTAAGCCACTCAACAAACACTGAGGAAGTTATGTTTAAAAGATTTTATTCAGTTAGGACACTTCATAAACTAAATTGCTTTGTACTTCTTGAGGCTTATTGTTATCTTTGCTGATTTTGCTTATTTCCTTGGACAACTTTTAAAAATGAATTTGGATGCAATTTTATCTAAAGGCAGTGAAGAATTGCCATTAGCTGAAAAGTCATCATGGCGGGGTCAATTACAAAGAACTCCCTGCCAAAGAAAATTGCTTTTCATCATCTTTATCCCCACCGCTATCATCATCATCATCACCCCTAGGTTTATAGAGTGCTTTTATGCCTAACAGCACTTTCATAGCCAATCTCTCAAATAAGAACCATTTTAACTTCGTTTAGGGTGATAATGAGTCATCATATATGATGACATTTGCTTGCAAACTCTGTGGATGATGGGAAGGACTCCATCCATCTTGAGCTATAGAGGTTTGTCAGAGTCTTTGGAGAAGAAGCAATGAAATCCTCACCACAGAGGGATGGAAGTAGCTCTTTCATAAATCTTAAACTTGTGTTCCTTTGCTGAATTAATTCACAGTAGCAGCTGAGAAATGCCATTCTCTCTGGAAGAAGAGAATAGCTTGAACAATAAAAGCAAGTACTCTTAGTGCTTTATTGGTGTTGGGTTTGGGAATATAGACATAATGCTCTACCAGAAAGTGTCTAAATCTCCTTCAATCATTTAAGGGAAAGAGGCAATGGGAAAGAGGCAGTTTGGGGAAGGAGACACAAGAAGTGCACCAGGATATTTGAATTTATATCTCTTTGTAAACTGTGCAGTTAGTATATTCCCCTGAGCTATATCATTGTGGGGGTTTGGGTCTTATCTGTCAGATTGAGGCTACAGACCCTTTTTAACACTTTGTTTAGCTTTGATATGCATCCAGGCTCTTCCTCATCCCTCCTTTCTTCAGGGGTTATATTGCCGGAAAGGGTGAGGATTGTCATGGCAAATAAAGAGGCCTGGTCTTGACTTTATTGTCCTCAGAAGAAGCTGCAAGAGGGGAATTTATGACCAATGGGGGTGGGGAAGGACAGCAATCTTTCCAGAGTTCTTGAAGTCTGGTTATATTTACTGATTATCAAAGAGCAGAAAACAGACACATACAAGTTGAATTTTAACCTCTCTGCCTCAAGTTAGAATTTAAACACTCAGCAACTTTGGGATTATGAAGGACTTTAGGAAATATCTCCTCAAAGGTATATTTTGATTCCAAGATTCAAGGTTCTGAAAATAAATTAAACCTCAGGTTCTCGCTTTGTGTTCTAAATATACCATTGTCTTTGAAACACCAAAACCAGACCCCTGATTTCCTAGGTTTCTGTTTGGATTCAGAAAACAACTCAAAATTGGGCCTTTGAAAGGTTAACTGACTAGTACTCATCATTTTCCATTTTCAAGGGGGGAAATTTTGTTCAGTTCTTCAGTCCATGAGTTATTCAGCCATTTAGTTTAATCCTAAACATAGATTTCTTGACTAGAATTTGTTTCTACATTCACTTTTTTTTTTCTTTGCTGGAGATGAAAGGGTGTCTGACATTTGTTTAGGGCTTGTAAATTCCAAACCAATTGGTTGGTGTTCCTGAATGTAAAGAGGGTTAGGGATGGGATCTGATGCTATGTAGCTCCTTTGTTAGGCTTGTGCTTCATCTTAACACCTCAATAGAGTTTAGGGAACCACTTTAAAGAAGTCTTTGTCCTACAGATGCCCCCCAAAACCTCACATCAAAAACAACCAGGGAAGATCAGAAGGAGTTTCTAAAAGCCACAGAGAAATAGAGGAAAGTACTGGAGGAGGTTAGAGAAACTGAAAAGAAAGGGAAACTTCCTAATCACCTTTGGAAAATTTGAAAGGAGGAATAAAGCTCTATTTGAAGGAGGGCATGAGAAATTAGTTAAATGTTGTAACACAAAGCAAATGTTTGGATATCCTTGAAAAGGACATGAAATACTCACTTTATTCTGCTTAAGTCAATACCTCCTCTTTCCCCATTCACTATCCACTTGGGAATAAAAATTAGCTTAAGACTCCCTTGAGGAGGGAACTATTTTTTTTTTCTAATAGGCAGTAGAAGCTGTGTGGAAACAGAATTTACTTAGTGAAAATAAATGTTCCTTTAAAATGACTATCCAAATCAAATTCTGTCTAGGTAGTATATGTAACTATAATGTCAGGATCCCAGAACAGTTTGCCATACGTGGGCCATTCTTATACTTCCCAGCATGTTTAAACTGGGAATAACATTTATCACACTAAACTGGGATTCAAAAGTATGTGCTCAGGTCCCTACTCTTCAGCTCACTAGCACATATTCACTTACTTACCTCAGATTTCTTATCTGTACAAAAGGAATAAGACAGGTTCTACATAATTCAAGAGGGTAGGTAAGAAGCTTAATAGGAGGGCTGGGGTTGTGGTTTAGTGGTAGAGCACTCACTTAGCACATGCAAGGCCCTGGGTTTGATCCTCAGCACCACATAAAAATAAATAAATAAAGGTATTGTGTCCAACTACAACTAAAAAATTTTTTTTAAAAAAAAAGAAGCTTAATAGGAAACAGTATGAAAGGACTGCATAAAGGGTAATGAATAATGGGTGTTACTGTTTTGGCCAATACAATTCCCATATGTGAGTGGAAAGGGAATGAAAATTGTGGATTAAGTGCAAATCATGGGTTAAGTGTATCTTTAAATGCTTTACTATAATAACAGTAGGTCAATGGTAGAATGATTGTGATTTCACTGATCATTTTAGGAGGAAACATTAGGGGGATATTGGATATGTATATGTCTACAGACACCCACATAAACAGAAAGACATGTCTATATCTACATCTAGACAGATTCATATAGATAGGCATACAGGTATTGATATTATAGCCACAAATGGGAATGTACTTAATGGAGCAATGGACTTAAGACTTATTGGTTTGAAAATATACGTGTTTTATATCTTAAAATAACTGATAAGGGTGCAAAGAGTAGCTGTGATTCCTTCAACCAAAATAATCTCCAAAGAAGCAGGATAATATTAAAATCTGGAAAAGATCAGTGGAGTAGAAGAAGGAGATTGAGGGTGAGGAAGGAAGGAAGGATGGAAAAAGGGAGGAAATGTGGAATGACTTTAACAAAATCACATTATGTGCATATAGAAATATGCCATAGGGAATTTAACCTTTTTGTATATGTAGAAAGCACCAATCAAAAATAAATAAATAGATGAACAAAAGGAAGATCAGTAGAGTAGAGGAAGGAGAATAGGGTAAGGGATGAATGGAAGGAAAGAGGAATATTGGAACTCAAATGCAATAAATCAAATTCCATGCATATCTGATTTTGTCAGAAAGAACACAATTGTTATGTGTAACTATAATGATCTAATAAACAAATATTAAGTGCAATGCTTTCTCCACCAACAGGGAAAACCAGGACAAAAGAAAAGTATCGTGTGGTTTATACAGATCATCAAAGGCTGGAGTTGGAAAAGGAATTCCACTGCAATAGATACATCACCATCCGGAGAAAGTCAGAGCTGGCAGTTAACCTGGGCCTTTCTGAGAGACAGGTATCCAAAAGGACATCCAACATGTCCCATAGAGTCATTTCAATAGGCTGAGATTTGGGGAATGTCTGTAAGCTGGGTTGGAAGCAAAATGGAGAACCAAGACATTCTCTAAGTTCTCCTAAAGGCCATTTTCATCCTATTGGACCTCCTCTTTTAGTCTCATTGGGCATTGTGTTCATTAACTAATGAATGTGATGGACACTGTGTGGTCATGGAAATAAGGGATGGGGTCATAGGAGGTAGAGAGGGATTACAACTTCAGTAGAATTCATCAATCAAGTCAAAACCTTGATCTGGTTCCTCACCGGTATGTGAAGTGGAGATTTGGCAACAGTGGCAGTTATATGGTTCCTATCAGTCAAACTACAAGAGTAACTGAATGCCAATGCTGCTACCTGTACCGTGGTTTTCTGTTTTTTAGGATAGTAAACTTAATCTTCTATGGTCTACATAATCCTATGAGACTTGCCTCAAATTTAGTTTACTACGGGTACTACAGGAAGATTAAATTATAGCAAGAATCAACAGTTTTCATTTGTTCAGACTTTGAAATATAAAACTACCTGATAATTTTTTGTTTAAGTCTAGGAGTAATCCTGGAGTCACAGAATTCTAGAATTATCAATTCCATTCCTTATCACATGCAGCCTGCATTTCAACTGCATATAGGCACATTAATATCATTCTGGTCTTCATCTCCAACAAAAAATATGTGGTATTTCATGATCCTTATTTACATGGTTTTGTTTCATTAACCTTTTCACTTTTGCTATTTCAATCCCTCCCTCTTATTGACAGTCCTCAGCATCTGTCACTCTGTTATTATTTATTTCTACTAGTACAGCAGAGGAAGTAGATGAGGTAGGATATAAAAAGCACTGCATTCAATCAGTAGCCCTATAATTGATCTGTTTCATTTCATACAAGGCACTTGCCCTCTCTCATCCTCAGCTTTTTTTTAAGAGAGAAAGAGAGAGAGAGAGAGAGAGAGAGAGAGAGAGAG